ATATATAGAGTAGCATGAAGCAATTGATGTTAACATTAAAGGTCACGGAGTTTGTGACGCATAGCGTGTTTACATTGGCTGCGCACGCGCATTTCTCGACGCTTATAGAACGTTTTAGACGCGCAGCGCGTAGAACGTTCCTTGCCGCTGCTTAGTTGGTGTAATAAGTAACCTCTCCGCTATAAGGTCTGACTGTATTTCACTATATTTTTTTTCAGATTCTGCGTTTTAGTCAATAATTTCGAAGTACAGTAGTTGATTTAGTCGCAACGTTAAACAATTTTATAAGGGCATGTATACCCATGCATACCCGAGTCCGCCACCATCATTTGAAAATCCTGGGTCGGCCTCTGCCTTATTATGTTAGCCCCAACCACGCTTTCATGAATGTTCCGCCGAGGCAATGCAAAAATTGAAGGTCACTGGGTTTGTGCGCATAGCGTGTTTACGTCGGCTGCGCGCGCGCGTTTCTCGGTGCTTATCGAACGTTCTATAGACGGCCAGCGCGGTGCGCGCACGAGGCGATTGTAGGCTGATGTAATAACATAGCCGTGTGTGATCATTCCTGACGATTCTTAGCAACGTTCGATAAACCCATAGTATAAAACAGGCGTCGCTTCTAGAGACCTGTAGATCAGTGGTCGTTAGTGAGACGCTCGGCTGTGTAGATTTGTGCGGGGTGTACCTTAATATATATAAGCTCTCAGCATGCATGTCGTCGTTTTCGGTGATGAACAGAGTGTGTCGCCCTACGCTCTTCCTGCGCCTGGCGCCTCGTCGATGTCGTAATAGCTGGTGGCCAGCACCTTTCGGCTGGCCACCGCGACCAAGTGCTGTGATGAGAGACTTGGACAGGGAACTTCAGAGTATGCAGCCGGACATGATGCGCTTTGAACGTCAGCTGTTCGACACTGACCGATGGTTCTCTCAGGGACCGCTGAGTCTGCTGCGGAGTCAATACCAACACCCAGCGCGAGCACAGCTGATCGCCGAAATCGTCGTAGATAAGGAGGGCAAGAAGAAGCTTCAACTTCGCTTCGACGTCACCGGGTACGAGCCGGAAGAGGTCTCGGTCAAGGCACACGGAAATCGCGTGAAAGTACACGCTAAACACGAGCACAAGAGTGATTCGGAAACGATTCACCGTGAATTCACGCGCGAATACACCCTTCCCGATGGAATCAATCTAGCAGGTTTGAAGTCGATGCTAACAGAGGCAGGAGAGCTTAGGGTAGAAGCACCATATCTAGCTACTGAGCCGCCAAAGGAAACAGAAATTCCTATCGTCAGAGAAGAACAAACTGAACAAGATGGCGACAAAAAAATCGAGTAATAAATCGCGGAAAATATATCACCGGAATACAAACAATACAGTAACGAAATATGTCGTCACATTAGGCGTGTGTGTATAATTTTTGATGTAACACGAATAGTGTTAAATGTTGTGAATATTATAATAATCGTTTGTTATTTCTGCTCCACATTAACTGTATGTTATTAATTTTCGCATGTGTGTTCGCGTGTGTGCCTGTGCGTATGCGCGTATCTGCGTTCATGTGTGCGGGCAGGGGTGTTACATAATATATACCGGGAAATATATATATAACAGACTAACTCGAAGAACAAACCGGTGTAGCTGGTTCTACTGCTATAGATGTATGTCATGTGTTGCTTCCATAAAATCTTAATGAAAAATATTAAAAATCGTAGATCGGGAATATAACAAGTGCTGGAGTTTTGTTGTAATATTGTAATAATTGCAGTATTGATGTAATATAGCGCAGTTCTTTGCAAACTATGATACATACTGTAACATACAAACACAGCCATTTAAACTACCTTAGTTTTCCACAAATAAATAAAT